CCTCTCAGTGTCTCTGTCTCTCCCCTGATAACCTACAGGAGCCCACATGCCCTAAGGCAAAAACCTCTACAAAATAAATAAATAAGCAACAGTTATAGATGTGAAGATATGTTTGTGATAAGAAAAGACAAAAGGAAAAAGAAAGTTTTGATACAGAAAGAGCTTGTATGGTAAAATATTTTGTCCTGAAGTAAAAGGGCTGGATTATTCTAGAATGGAAAAAAAAAAAAAGTCAAATATTCAAGGTATAAAGCATATTGCAGAAGGTTTGAGTTATATCAAAAAGGATCTCAGAGGGAATTATAAAGAATTATGAAGGTAATTTTGTAAAAGGGTTTTATATATGACAATGACCAGTTTTTCGATAGGCAAATAAAGAAACAAACAAAACACAAACTCCAAGGGTTCATGCAGGGGCCAGGAGTAACCTTGGATGACCTTCAGGCTGCCACCACAGCCTTTTATAATCAAAACCAAAAGGAAAAGACGATGGTCCAAGAGAGGAAAGAAAAAGGAAAGAAAAAGACATGCCCCATTACTGTTTAAGTTTCAAAGTTCCCCTACCCCAGTGACTCAGGGCTCCCAGCATAACAAAGATGACGAATGCTCCATCTGTGAAAGAAAGGAGCGCTAGGCCAAAGACTATCTGAATCATGACACCCCCATCTGGACTCCCTGTTCTTACTGCCAACAGGTGGGTCATTGAGCAGTCTATTACTGGGACTACTTTGACAAACACCCTAGGAGTTTAAAGAGAGCCAGAGGGCAGAATCATCAATTCTGACACCTCTTCCTCATGTTTCAGCTTGCCTCTCTAACACTGGCCTACTTTACTGTGGCTCCTCTACTCACCTGTATTTACCTACCAGCTGGACCGGAGCATGCACCATAGTCTGTCTCTCACCCATCATTGACATAATCCCAAAAGAACAAACCTAAACGTCCCCTTAATGGCACGACAATCACATCAAACAAAGAGGCCATCCAAATGACATCCCTCTGGAAGCACTGAGAATTTCTACAGGGATAGGAAAGGAGCAGGGGTAGGAGGCATGGCTTCACTATTTCAAAACTTTCCCTCTGACCTCCAACAAAGCCTGGATGAAATATCCCAAAGGGTCGTACAGACTCAAGACCAGATTGACTCTCTGGCCACAGTAACTCTCCAAAACCAGAGCAGTCTGGATCTTGTTACAGCAGAAGGTCTCTGCCATTCCCCTGGAGGAGAAGTGCTGCTTTACAATAGCCAGTCAGGCCTAGAGAGATACAGCCAAAACCTAGCTCAAAGGGCCTCAAAAATAAGACAGAGACCTGCTGAGTCCAAGGACAGATAGTTATAGCACTGGACAAGAACAACCTGGCTCAGTCCCCTGGGTGTTCCCTTGTAAGTCCCTTTCTCTTAGTTTCTGCAGGACTTCCACTCCTAAGGATACTGAACAGTTTCATGTGAGACACCACTCAATACTTAACCCAAGATCAAGTTGAGAACCTCTTGCTCCTCCAGAGAATACAATATTCACACCTGCCTCCAAAGGACCAACACCTACCCCATCCTCCTGAGAGACAGCACCCCTATTCAGTAGGAAGTTGCTGAAAAAGACCCAACTTCAACATATATATATGTATATATATATATATATATATATATATATATATATATATATATATATATATATATATATATATATATATATATATATATATATGTATATATATACACACACACACACACATAATATGTGTATATATACATGCATATGTGTGTGTGTGTATATATATGTGTGTGTATATATATATACATATATATATATACATATATATATAAAGGCTAGAAACGTAAGGTCACATTCAGCAAAGCTCTTCTGAGCATCACTTGGTGTCACTCCAGACCTGACAAGGAAGCAAGGCCAGACCTCTGCAAACCCAGCTTTGGCAGGGGCCCACATTCCAGGCACTGTTCTTACAAGGTCACACTGACCCAGAGAGTAGTACACAAGGACACAAAGCAACCACTGGGACTGACAGCTGAAACAAAAACAAAACTACGAAAAGTCTAGCACACGTGCAATGTGACAACGGTCTCCCAGAGGAGCTGAATCAGTCGTCTTATAAAGAGACCCCTTTCTGAGACATCTCTGGCTTCAGACGCCCCAGGTACGTTTGCTCAATAAACTTTCTTTTTTCTCTGGAGATGGTATCTTCTGAGTCTTACCCTGAACCATGACAATGTCTAGCATGTTTTTCAAGCTGCCAGGTTCTAAATTCCAAGCAAAAGCTCGTGAGGGGTCTGGATCCCAAAGCACTGCGCTTAATCAGTCATCGGACTACAGGGCTGACCCAGTCACCTCTTACTAGGCTCCCCTCCCCAAATACTGTTGCCTTTGGGATTAATTTCTAACACATGGATTTGTGGGATTACATTAAAAACAGAGCATCGTGTTTATGTATAACTAGCACTTGATTTCTCTTGATCTTATACTATAATTTTAGAGAGTTTACACTACAAATTTTAAACAACAATACATAGGTCTCGCTGTTGACTGTACGGCTATATAATTATGGCATTACCTTGTCAATTTTGGAAACTAATCCCTTCAACACTCATTCAATTAGTAGTAGACTCTCCTAAATATTGTTTTACTTAAGTGAAACAGATATCATTATACTTAATGTTTTATAGATGGCAGAAGAAGCAGAGTAAATTGAAAGTTTTGTGTCGGACAAACCTAAGTGATGATCCCTCTTTTTTATATTTTTGCTTAATACAAGTCATAGGAGGCTACTTAATATTTGGAAAGCTCAGGTTACTTATTAAAATGATGAGAGTTGAAGATAATGTCTACTCAACATCCAGCACAGTTTCCGAGAAACATTTCTTGTGATCTTGATAAGTGGTTAAATTAAGTTGCTTTGTAGAAAGGTAACGATTTGAGCAATGCATTTTACATCTACCCTTCTAAAGTAAATCATGGAAAAAATAAATTTTTTAGTGCTTGCACAAATAGAATTTTAAATTACATAGTGAAGTTACTTTCTTAGAAAAGCTAACTTTCTGATTACATCAAAGTACATTCTTTAGAGAATATTTACTGTGTGTCCATACTATGGTTGAAATGGAAGGTATAGCTGAGAATAGAAATTGTAAGGAAATGTTTCATCAGGTTATTATACAGTCATTTTTCTTGCAGATATAGTCCATGAAAATCCTAAATTTCATATTTAATTATATAGTTTTCATTGGGAGTATATTATTATAGAGGGCAATATTTAATTTCATTTTACAACTTCCAGAATGTACTGCTTGCTTATAACATCTCTATAAATCATTATTTAAAAAACAAACTCAGGGACCAGCAGTTAGCGTAATGGCTATGTCACTGAAATCCCATGTAGCCGACTGCGGTTTGAGTCCTGGACCTGGTGGCTTAAACTCATGCCAGGCACGTGTGTGTGCGTGCCCAGGATCCTGAGAGGAGAATGGAGGAGAAGGGATTGTGGTGTGGCCATCCCCCCTTGGGGGGTGATTTCTCGCTTTCTATCTCTCTGTCTCTTTCTGTCTTTCTGGTGAGTACACACACTCTATAGCAAAAACCTCTCAAAAAAAAAGTCCTGAATGTTGGGAAAAGTCAATGACATTTCTTTGTATCCAATTTAATTTAGTAGAAATAGCATTAATTGGAACTGCATTTGTGACTGCACTCGTTATTGTCATGAGAAATATAAAAATTTATAAGAAATAATAGGTAACTTAGTATACAGATGAGGAATTCCTAAACTAAAGTGAGTCAGACCATGGGCATCTGAACTCTGATGTGTATACACTGAAGTATAATATCATAGTAGGGTGATACCCTTTAGAACATTACATAAGACTGGGGACCAGCAGACTGCATAATGGTTATGTCACTGAACGTGATTTACTGGGTTTCGTGTCCCAGACCTGAGTGCTAAAACCTCCTGCCTGGTGAGTGTGCCTGTGTGCCCAAGATTCTGAGAGGAGAACTGAGAAGGGGTTGCCCTGTGACCATTCCCCTATGGGGCGATTTCTTGCTTTTTGTCCTGCTTTCGGTCTCCGTCCTTCTTGCAAGCTCATGCACCTAATAGCCAAAATAAATAAATAAATAAATAAATAAATAAATAAATAAATAAATAAACATTACATGATACTGAAAAGGGCCAGATAGCAATAGTAATTAGAATTGGATTTTCCAATGGTGTATTGGTAAAAAAAAAATAAATAAAAATAAAAAGTGATAAATGATGTGAACAGTTTCACTGAGATACAACTGTCATGGATTAAACAGTGTGAAAAGAGCACAACAATGAGCTTTGACGTACCTATACATCTGTAGAGCCAACACCATAATCAAAACTGAGAGCATACATTACAGAACAAACCAAAGTTTTCTCATGCCTGTTTCTAATCCTTCTGCTGTGTGCCTCCATGGTCCACCTTCTACATTCAAGCACTCATCTTTCTCTTATGATAGATTAGTTGGTAGTTTTTAAGAATTTTACATGAGTGGAATCCTATAGTCTGCTTTTTCTTATATGAAGAGTTCTGATTGCGTTCATTCAACATGATTCTGAGAGTCCTCCATGTTGTTTTATGTCAATAGTTCGTTTATTTTTATTACAGAGCAGTATTCAATTTTTGTTCAATAATTTATGGGGTTATATACATTTGAGTTAAAAGGAAAGATACCGGGGCCAGGAGATTGCATAATGGTTACCTCACTGGATTCCTATGGTTCGAGTCCCAGACCTCGTGACTTAAAACTGACACTGGGCTTGTGTGCGTGCATGCCCAAAATCTCAAGAGGAGAATGGAGGAAAAAGGATTGCAGTGTGGCCATTCCGCTGGGGTGTGCTTTCTCACTTTCTGTCTCTCTGTCTCTCTCTGTCTCTCTGGTGAGCGTACACACTTTATAGCAAAAATCTCTTAAAAAAAAAGTAAAGCTACTTTGACTACTCATGTAGAAGTCATTGTATGAACATTTGCTTCATTCTTCTTCAGTAAGTCTGGAGTAGAATGACTGGGTCATATGATAGATGCACATTTAACTTTTTTAAACATCTGTCAAATTGTTTTCCAAATGGTTGAGTCATTTTACATTCTCACTAACAGTTTAAGATAGTTCTCCTTCCACATTTTCACAGACACTCAACAGGAGCAGGCTTTTAAAATTTAATCATTAACACAGCATTGTATTGGCATTTTAAGATGAGTTGAATTTTCATTTCTCTATTGTCAATTTTTTAACTATTTTTCATATCTTATATACTGTCTTTATATCTTCCATTCCTACCAAGTTTTTTTTTGTTCAAAACATTGTCTTGTTCCTTACTACTGAATTTTAAGAGATTTTCATATATGCTGGGTACAGGTCATATATCAGTTAAAGGATTTCAAAATACTGACTCTCAGATTATGGCTTTTCTTTTCGTTCTCTTAGTGTCTTTAGAAGACCAGAAATGATAAATGACTTTTTACAATCTGAACATGAAGTGGTTAATTTATTCTTGATGTAGATTAAAAAAATATTTCTGCCAGAAAAAAAACGCTTCACACACATACTCCATATTCATTTATAGACACAATGTCAGAATGAACTACCAAAATGGTAGAAAAGCTTTCATTTAGGGCTAGAGTGAAAAGCATACTAAGAGTCTTTTCAAATTAAGAGAAAAATAATTTTATAAACTATTATTTGCCAAAAACAGACTACATTCTAGAATAGTTAAATGTTAACAAACCTTTCAAGTTCTGTGTTTTAAAATTCTACACAGTTTTGGATTTGGTATAATTATTTCTTTAGTAGTTATTGTATAAATGTGTATTATTAAAACTATTAGTAATATTTTTAAAACTTTGTAGAAAAATAATTAAAATATGAGTTTATTTCTGGTAAAAAAATCAAACAACTTAAATTTTTAAAATAATTCATTTTCTGCATACTTTTGAAGACAGTCACAGTAGTGATTATCAATAGTACTGATAATGTCTTATGTTCATCCCTGGGCTTTAAAACCTAAGTCACTGTGAGCATTTGCTATTTTTTCCAACTCCCATTCCTTCCACCTGTTTTCATGGGACATTACTTCTATGACAATCAGGGCAAAACACATCTGCTTTCAAGTAAGACAGAGAAAGAGAGAGAAAGAGAAAGAAATCATCCCCAAGAGGGTTGGCCTCACCATAATCCTTTCTCTTCCATTCCCCTCTCTGGATTTGAGGCATGTTTCCACACATGCCCAGTTTGATTTTTCAGGCAGCCAGGTCCAAGACTTAAATCACACATCAACCCTGTGTGGTCCAGTGCCTTAACCACCATGCCACCTGCTGTCCTGAGGCATATTATTTCTTAAATGTGACTGTCATTATGAATGATTCACTTCTCAAGCACCTTGTCTTCACTGTAACTTCCTGGAGGCCCACATATCTTTACTATAATACCTTTCATAGTAGGCTTTTGACAATATATATTTCTGATTGGAATGTAATAGCCATTCTGTATTCATCTCTACATCTTTCCTTTGCCTTATCCTTAAATAGTTTAAATAAATGATAGAATCTATTTTCCTGAATAACACCATTTTAAACTGAAAAAATAAACGCACATAAGTAGACAAAGTATAATGTAAACTTTTATTGTTTTGAGTAGTGGAGGAAGTAATGGGTGAACTATACACAGAGATATAGCTACATGTCATTGTTACAGAAAGGATTAATCTAAGTCAAAATTAGTCAGTAAGCATTTCATTGCATAGTTTGCATTTTTTTAAAGAGAGATTTTTTTGCTATAAAGCATATGAACTCACCAGAGAGACAGAGAGAAACAGAGAAAGTGAGACATCAACCCCCGGGGAGATGATCACACCACAGTCTCTTCTCCATTTTCCTGTTGGGATTTTGGGCACACACACATGTGCACCCAGCCTGAGTTTGAAGCCTCTATGACTGCGACTCAAACTATGGTCAGCCATGTAGGAGTCCAGCAATGTAACTGTTAAGCCATTTGCTGGTCCTTAATACAGGTATTTGATCTTAATGACTAGAGACACAGTGAGTTTAGGTATTTATCCTCTGTGTGTATGTGTATGACTGTGTGTGTGTTTTTTCTATTAAGTTTGGAAGAAAAGGAAAACAAAGT